CACCAAGTGATTTCCAGATTAGATATAAAGTTTATTAAACAACTAGAATTTAAAGAATTAAAAATGTAGCACCACAAAAATGCCTTTAATGGTGAATCTACAACTGGACAAAGAGGTAACTTACAGCTAAGCCTGATATGGTTATTGTATACGAAGACACTTCAGAAAAAACAGGAATAGGAAAATCTTTTATGCAGAGATAAGCATCTAATTTAAAGGTTAAACTCACCCACAGATGAAGCAAAATCACTTTACAGTAACAGAATTAATTAAGACTTTCAAAACATCTAAACTATGCAAAGACTGTAAACAGCATTTCATAACGTAGAATCACTAATCACAGCAGCTACTCCAGTCTCCAGTCATGCAGATGAAAACTCAGATGTGACTGAAAATTTGGTGAAGGCCCAAGGTCCCATGATTTAAATCAATTTTCGCAGGTGTATATAGCTTCTTTTGTTCTCTTTATTATAACTGCAAGGTGTATAATAAATGAAAATGAGTTGGTAGAAAAATGTCATAATTTGAGGCCTCTGTCTCCTGAGGACTGTGCTAAATGGTTCTCCTCTCCCCTCCCCCCACCTTTCATAGGGACTGTTCATATTATATATCAAATCTGGATTTTAAACTTCTGTTTTGTTTAATGCTTTGAGTACACTTCTGACATTTCTCTCATGGTGACAAAAAAAAGGAGTGAAGAATGAATGAGAGAAAAGAAACATTTATGGTATTTAGAAAAAAAACAAATACTCTTTCATTGTTACATACGCCATCATGAAGAAAAAGAATGACATTTCAAGGGTAGACTTTCTAAACACATTTTGTGGAATAACAATGGCACTTCAGTCGGCCAGGAATGTAACTACTCTGTTCAAGAGCATCAGTCCCTTATTTTGTCACATTGGAAGTATATTTTTTTTATTTGTTTTTCTGGGGGTATACTCTTTATTTTTTTAATGCAAAAAGATGTCAAATCCAAATACAGGATACCAGATTCAGCTAAGCTATATTGTTAACATGGATTTATCCACTCCATTTTGATCATGCATGCTTCTAGATTGATTTAGCATTCATGCAACAACCTTAACAACTATTCATTTTTGTTATGGAGGTAGGGGGTGGAACTGCATCATTGCACAGGAAAGGCATTAGCTGTGATATGATAGCGCAGTTGTAAGTTTAATAGATTTCATTAACATTAAAAATAGAGTTGAGAAATCCTGGTAAAACCTCCAGCCTGGTGAACAAACACAGACTTTCTCTCTCAAAATTTCCCAAGCTTTTCAGTTTAGTGAAGGCTTAATTTTGTAATCAATGCACAATTGGAAAAAACAAACACTAACATGTTATATTTTACACTGGTTCGCAATCTCTATGTCCTTTCTCTGACTGGTTTCAAACGGAAAAGAAATTGTGTAATTCCTCAAAATATCAGAATTTTTCAGCAATCACTGGTGCTATTGCAATCCACACACCTTTTGGGTGTGGTTCACTATCCCTTCTCAATCAGCTCCTTGAGTATTCTAGAGTGTATTTCATCAGGCCCTAGTAATTTAAAGACATCTAACTTGTCTAAGTAACTTTTAACTTGTTCTTTTCTTATTTTAACTTCTGAACCTCTCTAATTTTCACTGGCATTCCCTATGGTAGTCATACAATCACCATTAGCTTCATTAACACAAGCAACTTCTTTGTATATACCCCTGCTTCTGTAACTTACACTCCAATTCATCTAATGAAGGGTGTTTCACCCAGGAAAGCTTATGCCCTAATAAAGCTGCTAGTCTCTAAAGTGCCAGAGAACTCCTTGTCAAAACAAAGATGTCATTAAACACCTCTGCCATTTCCACATTTTCTGTTATTGATATTGATTTCTGTTTTTCCTTCTTCATTGATTACAACAAAGATACAAACAATTATCTTTAAGCAAGTTTAAGCAAGGTAGCAGAATCTGGCTCTTTCACCCAGATGATATTTGATTTTCATATAAATACCAAAAACAAACAAACATTATAATTGCACAGAATTTGCTTCAAATTGTTTATGAAATTATACCTTTTAAAAACAAAGTAAAAAAAAAAAGAAAAGAAGAACTATGTTAAGTGTTTGCTAAATATATGAATCTGGACTAATGTTTAGCAGGCAAATAAAGTTGCTGTTTGATTTATACATGAATTATTATTTCCTTTATTGCAAAAGTTTTCTACCTGGAAAGAAAAGGAAAATTTCTACTGGTTTTGGAAAAGGAGGCATAGCAAAAATTGCCATTTTCACTGTTTTTGTGCCCAGCATTGAAAAAAGAGATCCTTTGGGTTACGGGGCAGGCTGGATAAACCATAAGATGAAATTTATAGTTCAGGAATGTACATTTAGATAGCACTTTCACACAGTAATCATTTACAAAAGATGAAAAGGACAGGAACCAAATTACTCAACATGTAATGGTTTTGTTTGTGTAATCATGTCTCCCTCTAGTGGCTCTAGTACACCTAAGTAGTAGAGCCTGTGTTTTTGGTGCTGAAAATTCTGGGTTCAGTCCACATTAGCATCTCTGCACCTGATATGAACATATTCATTAAGAAATGTTTCAAATGCTGTTGTTCAAATACACTTTGGGCAGTTTTACTCAGGGTTTACCCAGAGTCTTAACATCCTTTTAAGATTCAAACATCACAAATAATACTGAAATCAACATGCAAATAGTATGCTTAACATTTTCTAACAGACTGAAAAATACTAGCAGTTATACCATTTTTTTCATTATATGTGTTTTACTTTATCTTTGATTACATTGGTTGCACTTCAAATCCCTAACATTTTTAGAGATTCTTTTATTTAGAGAAATCCCTTTTAAAACAATTATGTTCTGCATGATAATTGCAAAGGTAATGACTACATCCCGTTATTGATGAGCAAGTGAAACTTAAGTGGATAACCGGTGTCTTGTATAATAAGGATCACTTTCTTAATTCCTCCAAAATTGCATTATATTTTTAAGGGAGATGATAAGCGAGGATTGACAGAGATGAAGTCTAAATCCTTTTGTAAATCCCAGTTCTCAAATACATTTTAAACTAGGATTTTAAGGATCTCACTGTCATAGTCAATAAAGAATGAAAAAGCACTTAGTTCAATACAGAGAACAAAGAAGATGATTAAAGCAGTGAAATTAGCAAATGAAGGCATTCTTCCTGCTTCTTTCATGGCTTCAATGTCCAGTATGCTGTATTCAAAAGACAAAGTAGGAAACAAGATTGGACTTTTAACTAATAAAGGGTCAGAAGTAACTTTCCACTAAGGTAAAACAAAAAACTGGACTGTGTAGCACTTTAAAGACTAACAAGATGGTTTATTAGATGATGAGCTTTCGTGGGCCAGACCCACTTCCTCAGATCAAATAGTGGAAGAAGATTGGCACAATCATATATACCAAAGGATACAATTACAAAAAATGAACACATATAAAAAGAACAAATCAAATTTCAGAGCAGAAGGAGGAAGGAGGGGGGGAAGGTAAATGTCTGTGAGCTAATGATATCAGAGGTGATAATTGGGGAAGCTATCTTTGTAATGGGTAAGATAATTAAAGTCTTTGTTCAAACTTAGGTGTAAAGTGTCAAATTTAAGCATGAATGACAGTTCAGAGGATTCTCTTTCAAGTATAGTCTTAAAAGGCCTTTGAAGCAGGATGCAGGTAATCAAGTCATTGAGACAATGTCCTTTCTGGTTGAAATGGCAAGAAACTGTTTTATCTTTGTGATCCTCTCTAAGATCTGTTTTGTGGGCATTGATCCTTTGGCGAAGTGTCTGAGACGTTTGTCCAATGTACATAGCAGACGGACACTTTCGGCACATAATTGCATAAATTATATTTCTGGATGAGCAGGAATATGTGTTCTTGATCTTATAACTCACTTGGTTAGGTCCAATAATGGTATCAGCAGAGTGAATATGTGGACAAAGCTGGCAATGGGGTTTGTTGCAAGGGAAGGTACCAGGGTTGGTATTAGTGTGGTATGTCCTGTGGTTGTTGGTAAGAATCATCTTGAGGTTAGGTGGTTGTCTATAGGAGACTATGGGTCTGTCTCCCAGAGCCTCTTTGAGTATGGTATCCTGTTCCAATATAGGCTGTAGTTTATTGATAATGTGTTGGACAGGTTTAAGTTGGGGGTTGTAGGTGATGACAAGTGGTGTTCTATTGTTGGTTTTCTTGGGTCTGTCTTGAAGTAGATGGTTTCTAGGTATTCATCTGGCTCTTTCAATTTGCTTTTTTATTTCTCCGGGTGGGTAGTTGAGATTTATAAATGCTTGGTAGAGATCCTGAAGCTTCTGGTCTCTGTCAGTGGGATTAGAGCAGATGCGGTTGTATCGAAGGGCTTGGCTATAGACGATGGATCGTGTGGTGTGTTCTGGATGGGAGCTGGATGCATGTAGGTAACTGTATGAGTCAGTGGGTTTTCTGTAGAGAGTGGTGTCTAATTTTCCATTGTTGATTTGTACGGTGGTGTCCAGGAAGTGGATCTCTCGTGTAGAATGGTCCAGGCTGAGGTTGATGGTGGGGTGTAGGTTGTTGAAATCTCTGTGGAATATCTCCAGTGTTTCTTGGCCATGTGTCCAGATCATAAAGATGTCATCGATGTACCGTAAGTAGAGAAGGAGTAAAAGGCGACGAGAGTTGAGGAAACATTGTTCTAGGTCAGCCATGAAGATATTAGCATACTGTGGGCCATGCGTGTACCCATGGCTGTGCCGCTGATCTGGAGGTATAAGTTGTTCTCAAACTGGAAATAATTGTGGGCGTCTGTCTGTATCTGTGCAAATTTTTTCATATGGTTGATGGATTTCCATTCCAAACGGCTAAATGTAGTGCCTTCTATCACTTTTCCACTAAGGGTATGTCTACACTATGGGATAAGGTCAAATTAAAATATGCAACTTCAGCTACATTAATTGTGTAGCTGAAGTCGAAGTAGCTCAACTCAACTTTTGGCACTGGACTCACTGCAGGAAGTCAAGGGGAGAATGTTCTCCCTTTGACATCCCTTGCTCCTCGTGAAAGCAGGACTACCGGCATCGACAGGAGTGCTCCTCTCACTTCACTAATGTGTCTTCACTAGACCAAATATTTCGAACCCTGAAAGATTAAAAGCAGCAGCTTCAATCTTCTCTATAGTGTAGACATACTCTCCCTGAGGACTTAGTCCAAAAGAGGCTTGTTCTCCTGCCACTGAAACAAAGCAATTGTTTTGTCGTTATCTTCAACAGGTGCCCAGTCAGATCCATGCATCTGATGACAAAAAGCGAGACACAAAATCGTATTTCATCACAAAAGATATTAAACATTGCAACTAAAAATAGAAAATTGGAAATAGAAACACATGCTTCAAAAAGCACAGTTTGTAAAAGATATTTCAATCTTTTTTGTAACATTGGAGAAAATATACATATTATTTCCTTTCAGATTACAAATGATATTTGCTATTAAAAATTCATGGCTAAAGCAGATAAAAGCAACCATAATATGTGTGTAAATCTAGTAGAATTCTTTATATAGGTGAAAAATTTGAAAATTATAAACACAGAAAATATAATAATTGAAAACACCATGCTTTTGCATTCGTGTTTAACAATGGCTTTGATTAAAAAGCTTAGGGAGATAGGGAGAAAAATCAGGCTTTAATCAACAAACAGTTCAGAAATTCAATCAATAGATGGGAAGTTTTGCATTTCCCTGCAATCACTACCAGAGTCCTGGTGGCCTTGATCAACCTCACTGTCCCCCGCACTTTTAGTCTCTCAGTCGATTTGAAATGGGTTTAGTGCCTTTTAATGCTATTACTATTTCACCACGTTACAAGGCCCGCAACTCAGCACTTCTCACTCAACACTGACGGGATGGTGGGTAGGGGGACCCAGGGTTGCCCACACCTCCAGGTCCTAGTCCAGGGCCCTACGGGAAGGGCAATTAATTCCTTGCCCTAAACTTCCCTTTGGTTGATGGGGACACCACCTGAAACACGCTGACCCACAGGCTTTACACCCCGTCCTGGCCACTTCCTACCCACCTAGTCCTTTCCCTCCAGTTACCTCCTGTCAGCTTGTGCCTCCATACCCTAGCCCATCACAGCGCGCTCGCTGCAAGGGATACACTTTCCTCACTGTCCCTCTCCAGAACTTCCCTGCTCCTTCCTCTACTGCCTTCGGGCCCTTCTCCTCTGGGTTGTGGTGGGCTGTTTTTAAGGATGGCGCCACAGTGCCACATTGGTCACCTTCCGCCCATGCCCATGCGTCGTGCATCACTCCATCGGCAATGCGGAGCATGTACCTCCAGGTTGCGGTTCCCCTGCTTGACTGCGCCTGCACATCTGCCTTCCTGCTGCGGTGCCTCCCTTCCCTCTCTCGGTCCAGTACTGTCTGCATGGGTGGGGAGCAGGGAGGATTCTTTGCCACGTTCCCTGGGCCCGGTAGCAGCTTTATGATATGCCGGCAGCACCAGTGGCACTTCTGCCTTCCCTGGAGTGGTGCTTGCTGTGGGAGTGTGGACTCTGATAGCTCCATCACACATTTCTATACATTTCAGTGTTTTTCCTAAGTTACATAAATGAATATAATCAGCACTTCTCAGGGAATGATAAGGCAAATCAAGCAACCAGCTAAGTTTTCTTTTTATTACGCTAGGTTTTCATCTATCTTCTCCTGCGTGAAAAACAACATCAATAGACAAAACAGAGCAATAAGGAGTACAGAGAAGGTAGTTGGTCAGGACAAAAGACAAGCCCCTCCCCCAACCACTTTCTTCCCCCCAACCACTTCCTTCCTTTTAAATATTATTTATGGATCCCATGTCCTCCCCCAGATTTTACTGTTCTTCCTGCCTCACTTCCATAAAGTCATAGTGTACCCTTTAGATTCCTCATGATTTCCCCTGTGTATGCTGTATAGAAACCTCTCCATACCTTCATGCATATTCCTCCTCTAGTCTCATGTAGCAACTAGATTTAGCTCATGTAGTCATGTGCTAGCTCCCTAGTTAGCAGTATGCTAAGAGACATTCTGAGATTTTTCATCCCTATTGCAGTTGTCCAAGGCATTCTGCTGTGGAGGTCTGAGGCACGTGCTTAAGTGCTGATTGAATGCATACACAAGTGACAAATATCACACCACATCACATTTTGCAGTATACATTCCCAGTGCTATCTACTAACCCAGAAGCGGGTCACGGGAAGGCAGGGGCATAATTGTGTCCCAACAAAATCATGGCAGCAAAGCATCTTTGATGCTATTCCCCTATGTTCTTTCTATTCAAGAAACACAAGCAGTGGTAGTCTCACTGCCACTTGCATGGCCATTATGGTTTGTTGAACCGTATCCCCAGGTAGAACAGGAAAAATTCTTACCATGGATATTTAGGAAGATGATCTGTGTTGGTCAGATCACATGGCAATTTTTGGAGCACAGGAGCTCTTCATGGTCTCAGCTTGATTATGGAAAGTCATCACACTTTGACTCTAAAACATGATATTGGTTTGAAAATTGTAGTCACGAGTACCAATCCTATTTTACAGATGAGGACCTGAGATGCAGGGAAGAATGCTAACTCAAGTTCACACTGAGAAGAACAGAATCAAGTTCACACTGAGAAGAACAGGAGCGCGACCAGAAACAGCTAACAGGAGAGTTTGGAGAGGGAGTTCTCCAGGTAAAAGAGGACTAAAAACGGGACCCTTGTGGTAAGTGGCTGTCTGGAGTGTGTGTGTTTGTGTGTGGGGAGTTGTCTGCAGTGTGCTGAGCTTGTGTTTGTCTGGATTGTTTGTTTGGTTGGTTGGTTGGTTCGTCTGTTTGAAGGAGCTTCTAAAAGGTTTGAAATCTAGAAGCCTCTGTTAATTGGCTGAGCCTCAGTCAGGGGGAGGGGCTACCAGAGCTATATAAGCCTGTGACTCAGCAACCAGGGAGAGCTAACAGGAGAGTTTGGAGAGGGAGTTCTCCAGGTAAAAGAGGACTAAAAACGGGACCCTTGTGGTAAGTGGCTGTCTGGAGTGTGTGTGTTTGTGTGTGGGGAGTTATTTGCAGTGTGCTGAGCTTGTGTTTGTCTGGATTGTTTGTTTGTTTGTTTGGTTTGTCTGTTTGAAGGAGCTTCTAAAAGGTTTGAAATCTAGAAGCCTCTGTTAATTGGCTGAGCCTCAGTCAGGGGGAGGGGCTACCAGAGCTATATAAGCCTGTGACTCAGCGACCAGGGAGAGCGTGACCAGGAACAGCTAACAGGAGAGTTTGGAGAGGGAGTTTAGAGGGCACT